CATAGACCCGGTTACTTTGATGAAAGCACCATGGTAAGTTTGACCATGGGGAAGAAAATTATTGAAAAGATTTTCCCAATAATTTTTATGTAAATATTATGATAATATATGCACCACATACCTGATAATTTATGTACAAACATCGTGATAACTTTGACCATGGGGAAAAAATTGTTGAAAAAGGAACTTCGGTTAGTTCTTAGCAAATAGAATGGTAATATAAGCACCACATACTTGATAACTTAGGTGAAAACATGATGATAATCTGGACCCGAGAATATTTTTATTGAAATATACCTCTTATAATTTTTGTGTAAATAGCATATGAAGACATACACCATAGATCTGATAACTTACGTCTACAACACCATGATAACTGAAAGTGCAACTATCCCTATGTGATTTTGGTAATTCCTAACAATATATAGCTCATTGAGCTAATGCTATTTCAAGATAAATATTTCAGGAAAGCTTAATGATTGGCATGGCATGGATTAGAAAGTTGACCCCTAACAATGCTAAGGACAAAAGGATTGGCTCAATCTCAAAGCAAAAGACTCTACATTTCTCATTTTAATGATCCAAGATCACCTTGAGTCCATAGGAAAAGCCAATACTATCAAGAGGGGGTGAGGTGTTGCTTAATGAGTTTCTTGCTCAAAATGCTTAGTGATATGCTCCAATGCCTTCAACTACTTTCTCATATCCACATATGTCCCAAACTAAAAGTTAAACTCAGCCCCACCGAAATTCTCTATCTGGCGCCACCGAGTTCTCTTGACATAGCCACTGCCAGAAACCCTAGTCTTTTCGGTCTCACCGATAGGGATCTCGATCTCACCGAGATGGGATTGTAATCTCTCTGTTTCCCTTCGTAACGTTTCGGTCAAACCGAGATGAGCGATCGGTCCCACCGAGATTGCAATGCAAACTCTCTGTTTCCCTTTCGTAATGTTTTGGTCCTACCGGAAGAGCGAATCGGCCTGACCGAGATTGCCTGACCAACTCTCTGGTTAGTCTATTACCAAAATCGGTCTCACCGAGTTTGTGTAATCGATATCAACGAGATTACGTTATGCTCTAACCCTAACAAAATCGGTCCCACCGAGTTGACGTGTCAGTCCCACCGAAAATTCTAACGTTCATATTTTGAACTAAATCGGTCCGACCGAGTTTCATGATTCGGTCCCACCGAGTTTGGAAAATTGTTTGTAATGGTTAGATTTTGTGTGGAGGCTATATATACCCCTCCACCCACTCTTCATTCGTGGAGAGAGCCACCAGAACATGCCTACACTTCCAACATACATTTTCTGAGAAAGAACTACCTACACTTGTGTTGAGGTCAAGATATTCCATTCCTACCACATAAATCTTGATCTCTAGCCTTCCCCAAGTTGCTTTCCACTCAAATCTTCTTTTCACCAAATTCAATCCTATGAGAGAGAGTTGATTGTTGGGGAGACTATCATTTGAAGCACAAGAGCAAGGAGTTCATCATCAACACACCATTTGTTACCTCTTGGAGAGTGGTGTCTCCTAGATTGGTTAGGTGTTACTTGGGAGCCTCCGTCAATATTGTGGAGTTGAACCAAGGAGTTTGTAAGGGCAAGGAAATCGCCTACTTCGTGAAGATCTACCCGAGTGAGGCAAGTCCTTCGTGGGCGACGGCCATGGTGGGATAGACAAGGTTGCTTCTTCGTGGACCCTTCATGGGTGGAGCCCTCCGTGGACTCGCGCAACCGTTACCCTTCGTGGGTTGAAGTCTCCATCAACGTGGATGTACGATAGCACCACCTATCGGAACCGCGCCAAAAATCTCCGTGTCTATATTGCGTTTGCTCTCTCAAACTTCTCCCTTTACGTTCATATGCAATTGTTTTACTTTCCGCTGCTATACTCTTATAATTGCATGTGTAGGTTGATTGCTTGACTTGTGCAAAGTTGCTAAAATTCGTCAAGACCTAAAATTGGGAAAAGGATAGATTTTCATTTGGTCAAGTAGTCTAATCACCCCCTCCCTAGACATACTTTCGATCCTACAATAACTTTTTTTACTCCTAAGTAAAAGTTTTTCAAACAAGCCCCGATAACTTTTGTTTAAATAGCATAATATTTTAAGCACCGTAGACCTACAAGCATCATGGTAATTTTTTGACCCGCGAAAAAAGTTGTTCAAACATCACCGATATTTTCTATGTAAATAATACGATAATATAAGCATCGCATAACCGATAACTTATGTACAAACATCATGCTAACTTTTACCGAGAGGAAAATTGTTGAAAAATATACCCTCGTCAACTAATGTGTAAATGGTATGGTAATATACGTCTGCATACCTGATAACTTACGTGCAACCACCATAGTAACATAGACCAAGGGGTGGGGGAGTTGTTGAAAAACATACCCCTGATAAATTATGTGAAAATAACATGATAATATATGATCCGCATACCTGATAAATTACATACAAACACCATGGTAACACTGATCAAGGGGGAAAAGTTGTTGAAAAACATAACTTCAATAACTTAAGTGTAAATAGGATGGTAACATACCAATCATAGACCTGATAACTTGGATACAAACACTTATTTAATATCGAGCAAGGAGAAAATAGTTGTCGAAAAACATACCCACGGCAACTTATATGAAAATACCAAGATAACTTACGTACAACATGTGTGGTAACTTACTTAGTCAATATGTTGTGACTTTTGAGCCCAAAAAGTCATCAGAACATATCAAGATGAGATCTAGTTTTAAAGATTACAACGTGACGAATCATTTATGTGAAAGTGATTTTGCATCCGACCGACGGTTTGATCTACAAAATATTTTAAATTTTTAGAATATGGATAGTCTAGGATGACGTGAGATTTTTATCCTCTATTGCATACATGCATGTGGATGGGAGAACCATTTTTATGTCCCGATAACTTATGTGGAAATACCACGATAACTTGCATACTATAGACGTGATAATTTATGTGACCAAGGCATGGTAACTTTTGACTCGAAAAAAAGTTGTTAGTATATGCCAACATGGCATAGTTTTGAAGATCTCGTCGCGACAAATCTTCTACGTGAAAATCGTTTTCGCATTCGACCTACGGTTTAAGCTACATAATATTTTGAATTTTCAGAATAGGGAGAATCTAAGATGACATCAACTTTTTCTCCTTTAGTGCATACATGCATGTGGGTAGGAGAACCATTTTTATGCCCTGGTAACTTATGTGGAAATACCACGATAACTTGCATACTATAGACGTGATAACTTATATAATCAAGTATTGTCAAAACATACCAATATGGGATATAGTTTCAAAGATCTCATTGCAATGGATATTTTATGTGAAAACCGTTTTCGCATCTGACCGATGGTTTGAGCTACATAACATTTTCAATTTTCAGAATAGGGGGAATATACGATGAAATCAAATTTGTGTCCTCAGGTGAATACATGCATGTGGGTGGGAGAACTATTTTTATGACCCAGTAAATTATGTGAGAATACCATGATAATTGCATACTATAGGCGTGGTAAATTATGTGACCCAGGCATGGTAACTTTTAACTCGAAAAAAAATCATCAAAACATATCAACATGAGATCTAGTTTCGAAGATCTCGTCGCGACGAACTTTTTATGTGAAAACCGTTTTTCCATTCGACAGACGATTTGAGATACAAGACATTTTAAATTTTTGGATTAGGAAGAACTTAGGATGAGATCAGCTTTTTTGTCCTTTAGTGCATGCATGTAATTAGAGAAAAAAAATGCGTGGAATGAAAGCGAGTCATACTAATGCATGCATGCACTTAATTAGATGAAAGGAAGGAGTAGTGTGGTAGTTTTGTTTATGTGACACACATGTGTCAAATATCACGGTCCATATACGCACATAGTTCTCTTGTGTGTTCTAAAAAAAATCAAACCGCTAAAGAAAGAGGCGCAATAATATATTTAAGAAAGAAATCCTTATTTAACATTGTTTTATATTTGGTTTCCCTATTTGACACTGAAAAAATATTTTTTCCCTATCTAACACCAACATAAAATTGTGTTCCTAATACAACACTCGTGTCCATTTTTTGATCTAATGGTGTTAAATGACACATGAAATGACAAGTTTACCCTTGCCACTTAGAAGCACCTAAGTCAAGTCAAGTTCACTGTCATTAGCTTCACCCGGCTACAATCCCTCGCACACGGGAACACCAAGCGGGACAGGAGGTAGATGGCCTCGTCGCTCCGGAGCACCAACCGATGTAGGCCTTCCTTACCGGCACGCCACACGAGCATATGCTGCGGTGGACTGCGCTGTGCAGGGTTGTCCGCGTCCACATGACGGATCTTAAGCAGACGGCGAGCTGTGACCTCAATCTGCACAAGCTGATCGATGGTTCCGGCTGGTGAAATTGGTCAAGGCAGGGGCGGCCAAGGCGCAGCTGACGGGAGCTTCCGTACGTTGGGCGAGCCCGTGGTGGAGTGTTGGTTTAGAATGCTAGATGGATTTCCTCAAATGCAGCGCATATAAGTGAAAAGCTACTCCCTCCGTTCTGATTTACTCATCGTGGTTTTAGTTCAATTTTAAACTAAAATCATGATGAGTAAATCGGAACAGAGAGAGTAGCTCACAAACACACGAGCAACTCAATTGATGCTCGTCTCTAGCCTCTTAATACGTCACCCTTAATTTAGCTCGAAACGAGAAATATGGACTATACTGATAGTACTACTACTTACTATTTGCCGATGACTAGCCTTTCAATACAAAGAATTCTTTGGGATTTAAGTTTTTGGCTAGCTTTTCGGGATCTAGGCTTTGTCTACGGATTAGAGACACCCTTAGGCGTTGAACTTGAGGTATTTTGTGCTTGTGCTTCACAATCAAAAGATAGTATATGTTGAATTTTAGATGTAGAACCAACTAGCTAATCCAAAAGATCAAACTCCTAAAGAAAGATGCACAATCCTATATTTAAGTCATACTAGAAATGATCCTTGGGATCATCATTCAGTGAAATAGTCGAGATACTGAACCCATTTCCGGAGTCGGCACCAGCGTTCCTAGTGTAAAACATTGACGCTGGCTTTGACGGGGCACCGAGGGACACCATGTCGCTCCCAAGCATCATGCCCACCGCAGACATCACCGGCCTGTCCACCGGGTTCTCCTGGACGCACATTAGCCCGACCTGGATGCACCTCCTCGCGTCGCTCTCCGAGAAGCTGTTGTTCATACACGGGTCCATCATCTCCAGCACCGTTCCAGACGTCCAATGCTGCCAGATCTGCACGGACAATTTTTTATTTTTTGCAACAAGTTAGTCATTTGTGGCAATTGTCTAGATATAGTAGCGATGGAGCGCAACAGAGTAAATTGCAAGAAAGAAATCACCACTTTAAAGGCTAGGTTAGCAGAAAACACTACTATACATTTTTTTGGCAGAAAACAACATGTCTAGCGTAATTTTTTTGCAAATAACATTAGTCGGCAGATTAGGGTCAGTTGAACGCGTTTATGACATGTGGGTCCCGTATTTTGCTGACGTGGCATAACATCTTCCAGAGATGGCGTTAGAGGGGTTCTTTTTGCCAAAAACGCCTCAAAAAAACAACCTACCTCACCTGCCCCCACCCGACACCTGATCCGGTGAGATCCGCCCCTGTCCTGCTGCTGCTCCGGCGTGGTCGCAGTTGCTGGAGAAGGTCGGGCGCGCGAGGGTGTCGGCGACGAGCCCAACCCTTCCTCTACTCCTACAGGCCGCCTGGATCGACCATGTACGTCGCGCCGTGGATGAGCGCGGCCATCGCCATCGACGAGCGCCAAGGACGTCGCGTCGTGGATGCCGCCGCCATCGACGAGCGCCAAGGACGTCGCGCCAATCGCTCTCCACCGCCTCCTAGTGCCCTATGGCGCGCCCCCGCCTTGCCGGCGTGGCCACCTATGGTCTGGCACCCCGACGACCGCCCGCCGTCGCCTCCCAGACTCGGAAGCCGCCGCCGCCTCCCAGACCCGGACGACCGCGGCCGGCGCCTCCCAGACCCGGACGACCGCCGCCGCCGCCTTCCAGACCCGGACGACCGCCGCTGGCGCCTTCCAGACCCGGACGACCGCCGCCGCCGCGCCTCCCAGACCTTGATGGCGCGCCCCCTCGCCATTGACGAGAGCCATCCTTGTGTTGATGTTCTGCTCGCGTGCTTGGATAGGCTCAGGGAGCTGATTGCTTTTTGGGTTTTCATCTAAGGGTGTTCCTTCAAATTACAGGGACTTGTTTGTAAATCTAGATAAAGACATCATCTAACGCCGTCTCGGCCAAGCCGTTATGCCACGTCGGCAAAATCTGGACCCACCTGTCATAAACATACTTAAAGCGCTCCAATCCGTCGATCAGTGTTATTTGCAAAAAGATTATGCTAGACGTGGTGTTTTCTGCGAAAAAAAATGTATAGGAGTGTTTTCTGCAAACCTAGCCTTTAAAGTAGTGGTTTGTTGTAATTTACTCAGCGCAACAATATGATGCATACCATGGTCAAGAGATCTTCAGATTGCAAGGTGTCACTGTTCTTCCTTCCCGTAACGATCTCCAGAGCCATTACCCCGAAGCTGAACACATCCGATTTCACGGAGTAGTTCCCGCGCATCAAGTACTCTGGCGCCATGTATCCACTGAAATAGCACAACACAGCATGTTCCAACGTGGTTAACGAACGTTGCCCTTATTTTAGCTACAAAAGAGAAACAAACATGGACTACAATGGTACTAGTACTAATACTTACTATGTGCCGATGACACGGTCGGTGACGCCCTGCGTCTGGCCTCGCCCGAAGAGCCTCGCGAGGCCAAAGTCGGAGATCTTGGGGTTCATGTCGGCGTCGAGAAGCACGTTGCTGGCTTTGAGATCACGATGGACGACCTTGAGCTGGGAGTCTTCATGGAGGTACTGCAGGCCTCGAGCGATCCCACGTATGATCCTCTGCCTCTTTCCCCAGTCAAGCTGCTCCCCTTTCTCAGTGTCTGCCGTGCGTTTGCAAGTTCAGAAAGTGCAACTTAGAGTTTCTGATCATAGGTAGCAAACCAAAACATTACCAAATAGGATCTGGTCGAGGCTCCGGTTGGGGATGAACTCGTAGACGAGCAGCCGCTCCTGCTGCTCCAGGCACACGCCGACAAGCCTGACGAGATTCTTGTGCTTGAGCTTCACCACCAGGGCGAGCTCGTTCTTGAGCTCCTCCACTCCTTGCGTCGAGCTCTTGGATAATCTCTTCACAGCTATCTCTTCGCCATCTGGTAGAGTACCCTGCGCACCAAATTGAGCCAAAGATAAGTCCCGCTCAACTGCAAAAAAAGAGTCCATCTAGCAATTTTGTCGAGATCGGCACCTTGTACACCGCGCCAAAGCCTCCTTCGCCGAGCTTGTTGCTCTCGGCGAAGTCCCCGGTGGCAGCTCGCAGAGTTGAAATGTCCATCAGCATCGAATCTACACTCTCAGTGTCCTTACCTGCAGTGGAGTAACTGGAATCTGTTGAATAATTAAGAACAACTCCATCATCAGTTTGAATGTTCAAGTGCAAATTGGAGAGTTTCGGAGAGTTTGAATGTTCAACATACATGGTTGCTTGGCTCGTGCTGGTGATCGCCGCCTCCTCCTCCAGATAAATAAGCCGGCGAGAAGGTTTGCGGCTGCTAGAGTAGGCAGCACAACTATAAGAACCATGCCAGGAACACTGTACTTTCTCCCTGTGGTTGTAATCAATGCATGTAACAAAACAAACGTCAGATCAGATGGATACAATTAACTTGAACAAGATGATACAGGGTATTTAACTAAACCAGAGGGCAACAGGATTTAGAGTAGTAAGAGAACAAAACATATGTTGAGACAACATAGAGTTTATTCTGTTAGTTTGCTCCATTCGCATGGCTTGTCGTCACGATTGATAACATGTCTTTCTGAATTTCTTTGTCCAATTTTCAAATTATCTAGGTACGCCTTTCGGCAAATTATCTAGGTACACCTTCCTTGAAGTGGCCAAGGAGGCTATAATGGATAGTACTCCCTTTCTTTTCGCTGGGAGCTCATTTATTTTTATATATAGAAAGATAAAGATTTAACAGACGCTGACGACTCACCTCCTCCGACCGCAGCCAACGGCGTCACAACATTGGGCACCATATCCAGCGCCGGCGCCGGCGACGGCGCTGGAGCTCCAGTTGCTGGTAGGCGCAGCATGACCGGGCCATCAAGGAAGGGCCTGTTCTCGTACCGGACGCTGCACCTGATCCCAAGAGCCCTCGCCCCGACGCTGTACAGCGGCGTCCCCAACTCCTGGATCATGTTGGCGAGGCAATCCCGGCAGCGCGCCGGCGTGAGGTCCGGCGTGCACTGCGCCCAGCTGTACACCTCCGGGATCTCCCGGTCGAAGGGGACCACCCCGGACGCATACAACCTCATCCTGGAGGAGTTGTAGGCGGCATAGTCCGCGGTGGCGTTGAGGAGCGCGGCCACGACGCGGTCGAAGCGGGCCGGTTCCGCCGTGGCGTTAGCGCTGTAGGCGGTGCTGAACGCCGAGCCCAACGCGGTGTCGTCGGAGGCGCGCAGGTCGGCGTCGGAGTAGTGGAGGAAGCAGGGGTCGTAGTACATGGTGGCCTCCTTGGTGTAGGCGCAGGCGCTGGGCAGGTCCTGGAACCCCTGGTAGAGGCAGTCGGAGCAGGCGGTGGCGTTGGCGTCGCCGCGGCAGAGCGCGAGGGCCCGGACCTGGCCGGCCCGCGCCGTGGCGTAGAGGCCGCCCGGGGACGCCGAGGCGTTCCTAGGGAGGGTGGCGGCCATGGCGCTGATGCTCGCCAGGTAAGTGGTGTCGTTGGCCGCGAAGCTGCCGGTGCTGCCGCAGACTGGCCATGGGTACTCGGCGGCGGCTCGGCGCGCGAGGAGCACGGCGGCGATGGCCACGAGCAGGACGGCAAGCCGAGCCATGCCTATCGACCAATCTGTGTCCGCGCGCGTGTTTGAGCCGTCTGATACTGCAGTTTGCAAATGTACGTACGACTAACTCATTTCGTTTGTCACAGGAAAGTGGACGGCAATGCTACACGTACAAACAGTTTACAGGCTTTTATGGGTTAGTTTAGAGTCGTTTGTCAGTTTTAATTTCCACGAGAGGGCTGGCGTTTAACATACGGAAAGATTACTGTCGGCTTATCATCTGGGCCGCCTACGACCGCAATTAATATGGCTGACTAGAGACTGAGCATGTGATCGATCTTATCTTATCGTCCAAGGGGCCATTGTACTGTACCAGTTGCATACTTCTATAAGTGCAGGTGCGGTGTACATCTATATAGAAAAGTTTGGCACAGATTAAAACTAACTACAACTTGCATTTTAAGTCTTATCTACAGCTGCCTGAGCTGATCATCGAGAGCAACTAAACTCTTATCTCTAACCACATACAGCAGTACTACTACGTTACAAGTACTCCATCCCTAAAGAAATATAAAAGACTAATCTCTTATACGAAGGAAATAGTTTATTCAGGGACACTACTTCACAAGAACTTTACAAACAAAATCCACGATCAAGCGGCAACGACCAACGACGACTTATTATACATTTTTGATCGATTTCAATGCCATATCTAATTAAGGAGTTGGGATGCAGGATGCATAGAGCTATCTCTCCAACCTTCCGCATCCACGTACGCCATGGCTCGCCGTCTCCTCCTGTCCGTGGCCGTCGTCGCGGTGACGCTTCTCGCGCCGCCCGGCGCGGCGGGATACCCGTGGCCGCTTTGCGGCCAAGCCGGCGGCTTCCCGGCGGGCAGCGATTACAAGGCGAGCCTCGGCCTCCTCGCCGCCACCATGCCCAGAAACGCCTCCATGTCGCCGGGCCTCTTCGCCACCGCGCAGGCCGGCGCCGCCCCGGAGAAGGCGTGGGCCCTCGCGCTCTGCCGCGGGGACGCCGGCGCCTCCTACTGCTTCAGCTGCCTCGACCAGGCCTTCCAGGACCTCATCAGCTCGTGCGACTACAAGGACGCCACCATCTACTTCGACTCCTGCGTGCTCACCTACTCCAACATCCACTTCCGCGCCGCCGACGACACCAAGTACAGCCCGGTATACCCGATCCGCAACCTTGCCAACGCCACGGCGGATCCGGCGGGGTTCCAGCGCCTCGTGGCGGCGCTCGTGAACGCCACCGCCAGCAGCGCCGCCTTCAGCTCCTCCACGCGCCTGTACGCGTCCGGGCAGGCCGACTTTGACAAGGAGCTGCCGCAGGTGTACAGCTGGGCGCAGTGCACGCCGGACATGTCGCCGGACCGCTGCTGGGGGTGCCTCGTCCGGCTCATGAGGGAGTTGCCGACGTTCTTCACGGACGGCATCGGAGCCAGGGTTCTCGGGATCAGGTGCAGCATCAGGTACGAAACCCAGCCCTTCTTCAATGGCACCGTCACCGTGCGGCTGTCGGCAACATCAGCCAGAGCGCCGGCGCCGGCCCCGGCGCCTAATGTCGCGGCAGTTGGAAAAGGTGAGTCGGACCGTATGTTCACATCTCAACACTTACATCCTACTACAAATTATACTTTTTAGTCACTAACAATTGAAAATGAAGGTGAACAGTTTCAGCTAATAACCGTATACTTAAGAGAGACTTACTAATATGGAAAACTGTTGGTTGTAAATAGAAAAAGAGAAAAGAAAAGAATTGAATCGTCTAATTTATTCGGTTCAAGCTTGTGCGCTAATCTGGCATTCTGACCTGACATTATGTTTTCATTTCTGCATTGGCTAATTAATTCACAGGAAGAAGGTACAGTGTTCCTATCATGGTTCCTATAATTCTGTTGCCCATCCTATCAGCCACCAGCCTCATCGCCTGCTTCTTATTACGGAGGAGGCTGGGGCCACTGACCGAAGAAAAGCAGCCATGTATGTCCTGCAAATTCTCCACTTCACAGCGTGAAAAACTTGCAAAAGTAATCCCTAGTATTGATTAGGTATCCGCTTATTGTCAAACTAACATATTGGTATTCACACAGATCCCAGTTATTCCGCTGAAGCTGAAGACGACATTGAGAGTGCAAACTCGATGATGATTGACATTTTAACACTACAAGTTGCGACTGGCGATTTTGCGGAGAGCAACAAGCTCGGGGAAGGAGGATTCGGTGCGGTGTACAAGGTACCAATCGAGCAAACATAGGTTCTTTGGGAAAATTGCTAGGCGACTAAGCAGATTTGCCTTTATAGTTTTGAAATTTGGAGCTTATATAGGTTCTCGTTCGATTCGCAGGGCACGCTCCCTGACGGCAAGCAAATAGCAGTGAAGAGGATGTCGAAGAGCTCAGCCCAAGGAGTGGACGAGCTGAAGAATGAACTGGCTTTGGTTGCAAAGCTCAAGCACAAGAACCTTGTCTGGCTCATTGGTGTTTGCCTGGAGCAACAGGAGAGGCTGCTAGTCTACGAGTTCGTTCCTAACCGAAGCCTCGACCTCATTATTTTCGGTATAACATATACTCATAGTTGTAGTTTCTATTTTTCATTCAATTTCTGTGCAAGGTATATCTAATCTAACGATCTCCCCATTTCTTTCTTTTTTATTTTGTATGTTGAAACAACAAAAGATAGTGCAAAGTGCGAGCAACTTGATTGGGCGAAGAGGTACAAGATCATAGATGGAATCGCTCGGGGCCTACAGTACCTCCATGAAGATTCTCAGCTCAAAGTAGTTCACCGTGATCTCAAAGCCAGCAACATCCTACTCGATATGAACAACATCCCTAAGATATCGGACTTTGGCCTCGCTAAGATCTTCGGGCGAGACCAGACGCAAGGTGTCACCAGCCGTGTCGTTGGAACATAGTCAGTGCAACTCGAAGTGTTTGTACCTAGCAGCTATTGAATCATGAGCATGACTAATTGGCGATGGTGTTTCAGTGGATATATGGCGCCAGAGTACATGATGCGAGGGAACTACTCGGTGAAGTCGGACGCTTTCAGCTTCGGGGTTATGGTCCTTGAGATCGTGACTGGGAGGAGGAACAATGGCGACAGCTCCGGGCAGTTTGAAGATCTCCTTACCACGGTATGCATTATCTCATTTTATTTTATTTTCCAACAGGAGAGCAATGCTCTCGGTCTCTGCATTGGCTGTGTATATAAATATCAGAAGGGGTCTTGAATTGAATTGTACACAAATATATGCAGGTGTGGGAGCACTCGACGACCGGGACAGTGTTCGAGGTGGTAGACCCGTCCATGAACGGTAGGTTCATGGAGAAAGATGTTCTCAAGTGCGTCCACATAGGGCTCCTTTGCGTCCAGGAGAACCCAATGGACCGGCCAACAATGTCCACCGTGGTCACAATGCTCGGCAGTGAGACATTTACTCTCCATGCGCCCTCCAAGCCGTCGTTCTGCTCGAGGAGGAACGACGCGTGTGCCGACTAGATTAATCCTCATCAACCATCTCAGTTTTAGTATAGAGTATATGTAAAGGGATCAACGTCATTCATTCCGTGCATGGACCCAATTCATGATGATTTTAAAAACTACTCCCTCTGTTTTTATTTAGTCTGCATATTAGGTTTGACCGAAGTCAAACTTTGCAAAGTTTGACCAAGTTTATAGAAAAATATATAAACATTTACCATAACAAATCTATATGATGTGAAAGTGCATTCAATAATGAATCTAGTGGTATTGGTTTTTTTATTATATATATATTAATATTTTTGTTTATAAACTTAATCAAAACTTACAAAGCTTGACTTTGACCAAAACTAATATGCGGACTAAATAAAAACGGAGGGAGTACATTGCAATGAGAGCACAAATATTTTTTACGTCATAATTGTGATTTAATAGACATTTTAATGTTAATGTGATTACATATAAAAATGATTAGTGAATAATGTCTCCGTTGTTGCTCCTACAGCTACATATACATCTCCTTACTCGGTATGGATTGATGGCCCCCTACTAGAATTGCTCATTTTATAAAAGAGGTACAACGCTAGCAGGGGCCACTGTCATGGAGTTCCTCTTTTTAACGGAAGCCAAATCCAACATGCACCCTCTTTCGAGCGTGCAAGAAATTTGCCACCGATGCCATGGCTTTATCCTGAGATTTACGAAGTCATCGTAGGCACCTCGTCGTCGACGGGAACGTCTTCTCCCACTAAAAGCGCGTTGCTGGAAATCCTGAAATAAATTCAGGAATAATGAGAGCACCAGGACTTGAACCCTGCTGGGCTGAGGATGCCATGGCCTTATCCCGATGTGCTCGCCTTGCCGAAGTCATTGCCTTGTGGTAAAAACAGGTTCTATCTCACTTGTGTCACCCATCAAGCATTCTCACCAAGTTGTATGGCATTTGCAACCCTGGGTAGAGTGCCACGGCTGATCACTTTGCCAAGTATGTGAAATTATTTTGGTGAAATTTTCACTAAGTCCAGCTCCCGCTGGGCATAAAACTAGATACCCAAAGCCTGAACCCGAATAACCCAAACAATTTTCGGGTAGCATCTCTGGAAACCAAAAACTTATTCTAAAAATTGGGTTTATAGTCCCGGTACCCAAATAATCCGAAATTAGGAGAAGGCCCAGTAAAATTCGTAGCTTCTTCAGCCCAACCTAGTATTCCCTTGTGACCTAGTACCTGTTTGACTGCCTACAGACTGCATTACCATCGGCCATCGCCATCCTCTCCCTTAGGCCTTTGTCCAATACAAGACGCTTAGGAAAGGTGCTTAGATATATAAATCAGTCTTTCTCTAAGCATCAATGTTTAATTGTAGACGGTAGACGCTTAATTAGACGTCTTTTCTGTATAAATAGGCACTGGTACTTTTAAAAAATGAGGTTTATTTTTCTAAGCACCTCCCTAAGTACCTAGCATTGTACAAGGCCGTAGGGACCCCACTGCAACACAACACGCATTCACGCACCAACACAGGCAGCACGGCGCAGTCTCCT